GACTTATTTTGTCTACAACCTCTAAAAGTTATAAAATATCGAACCTGTCTTGTTTTCAAACTCGGCGCATTCCTGTTCCGTGAGCTTGAACGACTGTGGTAGAAAAACTCCATATTTTGTTATCGTCATGCGTACTACTGTGACCGAGCCGTTCCTTTGCTAAAATTCCTTTATTATTTAATTTGACAATTAGGTTATACAACGTGAACCAATTATCAAAGCTTAATTTTTATAATTCATGAGTTTAGGTAAAATCTCAGATAATCTTAACACAATATTTCCACTCAATTCTAGATTGGAAGTAGTCTTAACAGTTCCCTTCCCCACATAAATTTCGAAATCATGAATAATTGATTAGTAGTTATTTTAATTTAGGAAAGGGAACGATGTTTGATGAGAGGTGAGGCACATTTAATTTTAAGTAATATATAATAAATAATAATACATTTTTTCAGTATAGCCACGACAGCTGTACAGTCGTGACTACTACAGCCTGATGATGAACTCTGCAATGAGTTCGAAACGTGGACCTAAAAATACTAACGTGGATATATCCGAAAATCAGCAAAATGGAATTGCAATCCACGAAAGCTTTAACGCATTTATAATACATTTTTTACTATAAAATTCACCCTGTTTGCCATTCATTTTGTCATTAAAGGTATCAACAACCTATTAATTTTTTATTATTATATAATAGGTATCATAGTTATTACTTAGCAACCATGATCATTTTACTGATTATAATTATACTACAAGCAGGCGTTCCTTGGCTTTAGTGGTTAGCCCCGAAGGGGATCCCCTACGACTGCGGACCGACTAGTAGCACTAGGTGCTAATCACGGGCCGGAGAAGGTGTGTCTCAAGAAGAAGTGACCTGTCTGAAGGCCACTTATCGGAGGGCTTGGTAGAATTCTTTCTCCCCTAACCACAGGGATAACCGCGGCCAGTGGGCCAGGCCGCCCGCGCCCTGCGCACAACTGACCCCCTTGAGCGAGCTCAGCGAAGGCCTTCGTGCCAACCTCGGCCCTGTCGGTCGTCGACCTCGCTGAGCGTCGCCCGTGTGGGCGGGTTCTGGCGAACCATCCGCTCAGTTAAAGTTACGTTTGGCACTAGCGAGTGCGAATAACAATGGCACCGGTGTGCTTTCGCGCACAACTAATCGTGGGTCTTCCACCACTCGACTGGAAGACTGGGCGTCGCTCCTGTTTTGATCAGTTCATTGTGATTTAACTCCCGGCGGAGTGTGCTCTTAGCTCGCACGTGCATCGGCTTGTAGCCGTCAGGCTCGCGCCTGGTGCGCGGGGCTCGGGCCGTGGGGCAACTCTCTTGCGGACTCCTGTTCTTGTACCAACGCCTGTACCGTCCTATTCATCACTCCCGTTATGTATAAAATACCTAAAACGGCCTTTATTTCTAACAAATTTGTATCTAGTGCTGCTCTAGGTCTTCCAAAGTTTGGTCGGATATGTGCGAAATTTATGTTTGTACGTTAAACTATTTCTTGTAGTACAGATTCGGGAAAAAACAAGCTCCATGCCTCATAACAAGATTTTACTTGTTTTGCGTGACCAGTTGGAACGGGACGTATATTCAATATATTGTATACTCGAGTACGACTATTACGCGGTGGTGGGTCAACTAACCATAAAGATTTCATATCTTTTCCGACATAAGTTAGAGGCTAAACATTTATACGAGATAATTGTCGTTTACTTTGATTTTGACTATCATCATCATCATCACTGTCGTTGGACTGAGTTGTATCAGTGTCATGATCGCTTTCGTATACATAATCTACAACCGAAACATCTGAAGAAGCGATTTCATCATTTTCCTTTAAGAAAATTCTAATTCGATCTTCATCCCAAGAACTCATTTTTATATTTTTATTTTTATTTTTTATAATGTCGAAAATATAACAACAAGCAATATAACTGTTGAAACCCGTCTAATAAATTTAAAAAAATATGTTTTATGTCATAATAAGTGCTAACATGTGCTAGTATGTCGACCATGTAATAACGTTTTTTTTATACACGCGTACAGTGGCATGGGTCATTATGACCGATATCAGTTTTAAAAAACGAATTATCACGTAAATCTGATATAAATATACAAAATAACTCAACGAACATTAGCCTTATCAGTTAATTGAAAGGTACCATGAAGTCAAATGGATAAGGGTTTCTTAAAATGTGTAACGCTTAATCTAAAAAAACTTGCGGCCGAAAAAACTGATGCCACTAATGCCGGGTTAATAATGTTTACAGAAAACACGCTTATAGTATAATTGTAATCAGTAAAATGATCATGGTCGGTAAGTGATTACTATGATACATGTGATATAATAATAAAAATGTAATAGGTTGTTGATTACTTTAATGAGAAAATGAATGGCAAACAGGGTGACTTTTATAGTAAAAAATGTATTATTATTTATTAAATATTACTTAAAATTAAATGTGCGTCTACTCTCATCAAATACCGTTCCCTTTCCTAAATTGAAATAAATACTGTTAATTTACAAATAAATATAGAAAATGTAAATTACTGCTAAACAAAATATCTAAATTGTTATGTTCAATGATATTTTCCATTTCAGACATTTGTATTTTAATGATATCTTAAAAAAAATTTTATATGAGATAATAAGTGCTAACATGTGCTAGTATGTCAGTAGAAGGGGAATGTATGTACTGGAACAATGGGGTGATTGGAGATTGGTGATTAACTTGAGGATTAGCCTTGGAGATTAGTTTTGGGGATTGGGGATTACGCAGGTGGCGATCGGATAATTCACAGCTGTCTTGTACCCCGCCTCACGTCGTCTTGTAGGTGTCTCGGCCGCCGCCCGGAGAATGGCCGTCGGCCGCCGCGGGGATGAATGGATGACGGTGTAACAATGAAATCCGCCTCGTTGACCCTATCCTTACCTAACCTAACCCAATCGGCAAATTTTAATGTATTATATTTAAAGAAAAAAAATCTTTATTATTTTTATCAACTTATATCAATTTTTATATTATTATTTTTAACAGCAAATTTTTTTTTTTAATTTTCAACCTTACCTAACCTAACCTAAACTGCAAATTTAATGCATTATATTTAAAGAAAATTATTTTTATCAATTTTTATAATATTATTTTTAAGAGCTAATTTTTTTTAATATTCAACCTAACCTAACTTAACCTAACCTAAACTATTCATAAGCATAACGATATTTATTTAAAAATAATAAGGATAGATATTTAGTTCATAGACGAGTCATGGTAATTTAGTTTAAATAAATTTAATTAATTCAATTAAATTAAATACAAAGTTAACTAAAAAAAATAAGGATTTATTGTTTTTTTTTAAAAAAAAAAAGTTTCTTTTAGGTAAAATATTTAAGTCACAATCATACCTCTTAAAATCTAATATTAATAAAAAAAATTACATTAAATAACTGGTTTCTTAAATCTAATTTTAATAAAAAAAAATTACAAGTTAACATATTCAATAGGTAGATCAACGTAATTTACGAACTTGTCTTATGTAAGCAGGCTCCAATTCCTGGCGATTGATCTATCGAGTGTGAGCCATCGGTACAGTGGACGTCTGCATTGTTTACAATGCATTAAACGCATAAATGCGAAAAATCCATTAATATCGTTGATGGCAAATGACCTTACCCCAAATTCAGGTTGTCTTTGTATGCCTACAAAAGTACTCCAACACGGGCGTTCATTGCATATATAATCGCAACTGTTGAAACGTTTACAACAATACGCGGCATTCCATTCGGTAAACGCACTTGAATATCGTCGTATATGATCTACCCCGTATTTTAGAGGATATTGAGATATACGTTCAAAAACAAAACGTGAGGTAAACATATCGTTTCTTATATAAATTTCTGATAGACTTGACATAGTTAATTTGCTAATATTTTAAGTTAAAAAAAAATACACGGGTTGTTCACTGAAATGGTTAACAGTAAATGTTGATTTACGTATCTAATTATTTTCCAGGATATTTAGATTCAAAAAAAATATTGTGTATGTACCCGAGAAGTTTTCTTTATAAATGTAGATAGTAAATTTACCGTTAGGTTAGGTTATACATGATGTAAAACTGAAGAATTTGGATTGGTTACGTAAAGATCATCCTCCCACATGTAGCGACGTGTAAGGTTATTTTAAAATAATGTATACTATGTTAAAAATATATACATAAAATTCGTTTCGGTCAAGTCAGGGTGTGTAATATATCGTCAGAAAAGGTCAACCCAGTTATTTTCTTTATAAATATAAATCGTAAATTTACCGTGTAACCATGTTATCGAAGAATTTGGGTTGTTTGCTTAAAAAATCATCCCCATGTGGCGATGCGTATGGTCATTTTAAAATAGTATTTACGTGTAAAAATATATACATAAATTTCGTTTCGGTCAACGAAAGGTCTTTCCATAGAATCTTATAACGCACTAAAAAAAAATCAGGTTCAGACCAGTTGCTAGTAGATGCAATCTGAAACGAAATATCATCCCTTCCAACGAGTTAGGAGGGATGATTATTTTGCTTATTGGAGGGAGGTTATGATTAAATCTTAGACCATGCTAGTGAACCAATATTTCTAACAACGTCAGATTTGGTTCTACAGCGTAAACGTTAACAAGTGCATCTTAGTTTTCACTCCGTTAAAATATTACATTTATTTTTCAGTGTTTAATTTTAATATTATGGGTTTTGTGTTTTTTTAAAAACAAATTATCATATTAATATTATTATTATTGCTAATTTTAAATATATTTTCGCTTTCGCATAAATTTAACATACTAACGCATACAATATATTAACGCTTATATAAGATATTGCTTACTAACTTTATAACGTAATTCATTTTTTTTAACGCATTTAACATAATATATTATTATTAATCAATTATTATTATATTATTAATATTATATGGATCATATTAAATTTTTAATCATGTATCAATGTAATATTTGTAAAAAGGTGTACTCTTTAAAGCATAATTTAAACCGTCATCTTAAAACTCATGATGGTGTTCGATTTTACTGCGGTGAATGTGAATATGATTGGGAAACTAAAATCAATCTTACTCGACACTGCAAAAGGAAGCATGGTATGTGAATTATTTAAAATAAGATACATTTTTTTTAATTTAAAAAAATTTAGTGATTTAATTAAATAAATATATATTTTCATACAGCCGGAGCTGGTCAGGATGGAAGACACGAGCGTTTAGAGCAACGTACTAGCGTTATACAACACACATCCAACATCCTGACATTAGGTTAGTATAAACATTTTTTTTTTGTAAAATAGTAAATATTATTAAGTAAATTTTTTTTTTTTTTTTAGGACAAAGGGACACATCACATGAAAGCTTCTTTGATAGTGAAGGTGATGAATTATGTATTCAAGCGTATGATAATATTCCAACAACATCGGCAAATTTACCGGACTGCATACAGACTCCCGAACATATACAATCAAACTCGGCAAGTGGATCAGGTTAACCAATAATATAGTTTTTAACAAGTGAAACGATAGGATATAGTTAGATTAAAATTTAGTTAATAATATATTAGAAATAAATCCAATCATTTATATAGATATTATTACAACTTGGTTAAATTATTAGTAAAACCATTATTTTAATTTGTTTTACGATTAAATGTATAAATATTACTCATATTAATTAAATAGAACTCTGCAAAGTGATTTACAAATTTTAAACGATAAACTATTTATTTAAAAATCGATCACCGCCTACGATCGTTTTTTATTTTAACTGAAATTATTTTTAAACGATAAAATATTTACATAAAAATTGCCTATCTTCAACGCCTGATATTTTTTTAGTTTTTATTTAAGTTGATTAGAAAATTATAGTAAACGTATTATATTAAGTAGGGAATATTATTTTATTATTAGGTGTAGGTAAACGACAAAGAGACAACATCAACCAATCTAACACCCGATTGAAACGTCATCGACTAGCTGCTACTCAAGTAGATGGATTTGTATTAACTAACAGTGGATTCAACGGGCTTTGTAAAACTTTCTACAGAAGAAATTTTAATCAGTTAGCTGATTATGACTCTTTCCTGGCTGATACCAAACCGCAACTATTCGAATTATTAAGAACACTTGTAGCCGAAAATGCGGTGAAGTATACACTAAAACTAGAATCGACGTATAAAATCCCTTCTACAGAAGTTTTGGAAAATAGAGCATTCAAGACATCAGCAAGAACTCTATTCTAAGATACAAACATTGAATCAGCAATAGACTAGGATTTTGCTAAGTTAATTTCTGAAGAGGCTGAGATGGAGGGGAAAGGATCCGGGTTTTCTTTAGAGAAAATTGACGGTGTACTACTCGATATATTTAAATATACACCCCTTGGAGGTTCAGCTTTTATACCGCTTCCGGAAACAATTGAAAATCGTAAGGCGACAATAAACGTACAAAATAATGACAATATGTGCTTCAAATACAGCATTATGGCTAAGGACGTTACTGCACCAAACCCCAGCCGTATCACACATTATCAGAATGTACCAAGCAGACACAATTTCTCGGGAATTACATTCCCCATGCCATTATCTGAGGTGAAACATTTTGAAAAAAATAATCCAGGAGTATCGATAAACGTGTACAGCTTCAAGAAGGGGAGTTTAACGTATAAAAATAAATCTAAGAATAACAACGGCCAGACGTCTCAAAAAGAAAAAAAAACGAATTCATTATTATCCCGTACAAGGTGTGTGACCGTGAACTACCCGATCATTACGATTTATTATATTTCAGCAACGGAGAGGGAGTATATCACTACTGTTACATCAAGAATCTTGCAAGATTGATTGGATGTCAATCGTCTAAAACACCAAGGAAAAAGCCATCTGTAGACGCTGTTTTAAGGTGTACATCGATGAACCGGGTAAAATTGATAAAGAAGCTTGACTTGAAGATCATTAACGAATATGCGTCGAGAACGTGTCAGTAACTCCAATTCTACCACCGCCAAATACGTACATGCAGTTTGAGAACTGGGGTAACACACAAAAACTCGATTTTGTTATGTACGCAGATTTCGAGTGTTTGTTGAAGAAACCTGTAGGGGATAACCATTTTGGGAAAACAACTGTCACTCAAGAACATGTTCCCATGAGTTATTGTTATTTAGTTAAAGCTAGCGAGGATGTACCAACAGAGCTAATGGATCAATTCGACATACCACAATCCCCGGTTGTATACAGAGGTAATGCAAATTCTGAGGCTAACGATGTACCAAAGCATTTTATACAGAGCATTACTGATGTGGCACGTAAAATTGAACAGCTTTTAAAAATCAACACTCCTATATGTATGACATCACAGAACGAAAGTAACCATAAGTCTATCGTGAACGGTGGTAAATGTCCTCTTTGTAAATGTAAATTTTCATTAACAAATAATCCGGTACGAGATCACCACCATTTAAGCGGTAGATATAGACAGACTGTCTGTAATTGGTATAACTTAAAGATGCAAACTTCAAAGTTCGTAAGTTGTATCATGCATAATCTCTCAAGTTATGATAGTCATATAATAATAAACGAATTAGGGCACGATTCGCATACAATAAACGTTATTCCGAATAGTGAAGAAAAATTTATATCTTTTTCAAAATATATTTCGAATAGGTTTTCCATACGTTTTCTGGATAGTTATCGTTTTATGGCTAGTAGTTTGGAAAAATTAGCCAATAACCTTGCTCGATCCGATAAGACAAAGTTCCGTTCTGTGATAAATGTATATGGTGAAGATGATTTGGATATGGTTACTCGTAAAGGTGTTTACTGTTACGATTATACTGACTCATGGGAAAAATTGGAAGAACAGTGTCTACCGCCTATAGAACAGTTTTTCAGGTGAATTATAATAATTATATTACATAAAAAAAAAAAAAATAATAAAATAAATTAAAAACAATTTTTTTTTTTTAGTTCACTGACTGAGAAAAATATTTCCCAAGATGACTATAAACACGCTCAAAATGTATGGAAACGTTTTAAATTCAAAACTTTAGGCGAATACAGCTTATGGTATGTGATATATTTAATAGTATTCTATCTTAGTCTGATTATTATTTATATTTTTCAGGTATAATGAATTGGATGTACATATTTTATGTGATGTTTTTGAAGCTTTTAGGGAGCTCTATTTAAAAACATATGAAATCGATTGTTGTCATTATTATACTATCCCTGGTATGAGTTTCGATGTTTGTTTGAAATACACTGAAGCCAAGTTGGAATTGATATCAGACTATGACATGTTATTTATGTTCGAGCAAGGTAATAACAATTATAGTTTCACTGATGTTACATCTTTAACAATCGTTATCTAATTTAGGTGTAAGAGGAGGAATCTGTCAAGCTTCAAAGAGATACTCTAAAGCTAACCACAGCAAGGCACCCGTATACAATCTTGAAGAACCAAACAGATGGATAACATATCTTGATGCAACAAATCTGTGAGTAATAATAATGTGAAAACTGTATTTATAGTTTATTTATTTTTTTAATTTTCATATAATTATTTCAGATATGGTTTGGCAATGTCACATACGATACCAACTGGTAACTTCAAATGGTACGAAGGAAATCTTTCTGTAAAATCTGTTCAAAACCGTTTAGACAGAATAGACAAAATTGGGAAAACGGGTTGATTTTAGAGGTTGATGTCGAATACCCGAAATCCCTTCATGATCAACATTCAGATCTGCCGTTTATGTGTGAGAAGATTACTCCTCCTGGTTCAAAGATAAAAAAATTAATCTTGACGTTAAAAGATAAAAAAAAAGTATATTGTGCACCACTCAATTTTAAAGCAGGCTCTGAAGGAGGGTCTTGTTTTAAAAAAGGAGCATAGGGTACTTCAATTTGACCAAAGCCCTTGGTTAGCTAGCTATATTTCACTCAATACGGAAATGAGGAAAAATGCAACCGACGATTTCCAAAAGGACTTCTTTAAACTTATGAACAACGCAGTTTTTGGTATATGTGTATATATAATTATATTTAAAAAAAAAAATAATATCATCTTAATTATTTTAATAGGTAAAACCATGGAGAATGTGCGCAATCGCATAAAGATGTCCCTTGTTTGCAATCCTATAGCTTTTCAAAAACTGATAAACAAGCCTACATTTAATGGTGTAACGCAATACAATGAAAACTTGTATGCGGTACACCTCCACAAGGCAGTTTTAACTTTTGATAAACCTATTTATGTAGGATTTACTGTCTTGGAAATCTCCAAGACTTTAATGTATAATTTTCATTAGAATGTAATGAAAAAATACTATGGATGTGACATAGAACTGTTATACATGGATACAGGTAATACTATTATTATTATTATTATTTTTTTTTTATTGTAGAACTATTATATATATTTATTATTAATATTTTCAGATTCTCTAATGTATTTAATTAAGACAGATGACTTTTACCATGACATGCTAACCAAACCAGGTTTTCTGGAAAAATTGGATACATCTAATTTCCCGCCATCTCATCCGTGTTATAGAATCGAGAGAAAAAAAGTTCCCGGAACTTTCACAGGTTAGTTTTACAATATAATAGTTTCTTTTTTTTAATTGTATATAGATAATAATTCTAATATGTTTTAGATGAGACTGGAGGTGAAATAATCTCAGAACAAGTGGCTCTAAAACCAAAATCGTATGGTTACATACAGGTTGGACATGAGCATATTAAAGCTAAGGGCGTTGCTTACCATGTAATAAAGAACCACATGACATTTGAGGATCATATGGATTGTTTATTCCAAGGTATCAATGGAAAAGATCCTGCTGCATTCAATCCATACCGTACGATGAACTCATTCCGTTCTTATAAACATAATATTAAAACCATTTCAACCCTCAAGCTAGCGTTAAATCGACATGACGACAAGAGAGTTGTATTACCTGACCGTATACATACTTTACCTTATGGACATTATAAACTAATGTAAGTTATAAAATCATTAGTTTGTTATAACAAAATTTACTAATATAAGCTATTTATTTAAACGTAGGGAGATGGCTGAAGAAGAAGAAGAAGAAGAAGAACTATAATTTCCAATTTATTATTAAGTTTATAGGTATTGTTATTTTTTTTTCACCCTTTTATTTATTTTTGTTTTGTTATATATATTCTCTATACACTTCAGTTTTGTGCAGACGACCTCTCCCACTTCTGATTGTTGTAGTGAGAATATGTAAATAAAATTTATTAATATTCCCTCCCCCCCCTTTTTTTTCCACTTTATAACAATAACATTGATTAAATTTGTGAATACATGTATATAATATATGTATAATTAAATAATATCTATACATGTATGTTATGCTTGTAATGTCAATAATATAGATTTAATATTAAAATGAATTATATTGTAGCTAACCTCAACCTTTTTATTGTAAATTATAAATGTACATATACACTTTTTTTTACAATTTTATTTTTGTTTTGTTATATATATTCTCTATACACTTCAGATTTGTGCAGACGACCTCTCCCACTTCTGATTGTTGTAGTGAGAATATGTAAATAAAATTTATTAATATTCCCTCCCCCCTTTTTTTTTCCACTTTATAACAATAACAATGTTCAAATTTATGATAATAAATATATATATATAAATAATATCTTTACATGTATGTTATATTCGTAATGTAAATAAAAAAATAGACTACTAAATTATAATAAATACATTTTTTTTATTAAAAATAAAGTTAAATTAAAATACATTATAATATACAAGGTTATGAGATGTTTACAAACCAATTTCGTAATGCAAACATTTTATAAAAAGTACAGTGTTTAGGGTTTAAATTCATATGAAATAAACATGAAGGATGTGATTCTTCAGTGGTTAGTTCCGATAAGCGAGGGCATCCGATGTCTTCAAGGTTAATTATTTGGATATGTGGTATAAACTGATGTAAAATATCTTTTTTCTGTAGCCCTTTGACATAGATGATTGTAAATGTTAAAGAATTTAAAATTCTCGATATATCTTCTGTTTCAACGTCTCCATATTGAGGTGTCATTGAATGATGGTTTCTAGCTAGCCACTTGTTAACGTTTCGAGTGTTTTTGTTTGAAGTTTGTGTAAAGTTGTGCTTAAATATCCAATGTTGTGTATTCCATGTGTCAGTTGCAATTACAGATAATTCTTTTATTAAATAATTAGAGTCTGGTGACATAATACATTCCATATCCAAAATAGCGGAAGTCATTATGAAAAAATAAAACAACTAATTTGCCGGCTTCTTAAATCCTGATTTAACTGCGAGAAACACTTGTAAAGAACTTAAACGGCTTAATATATGTTCATCTAATTTTCGAACATCGTTTTGGTCTTGAATACTATTAAGAATCTCTACGATTGTTTTATCAGTTGTATACTTAAAAATTTCATTATTATCATTGATTTTTTCTATAGAAGTTTCTATAGATTTAATTTTTTCAAGTTTATCTGATGTTGTTTTCTGTATGTCATATAACTGTTTTGTAATACTTGAAATTTTATTATCGTTATTTTTTATAAGTTTGCTATTACCGTCAAGCGAAGAAACTATATTGTTTATAAATGTATCAGCAGTCTCTCCAAACACGTTCATAGTCAACGTATGACTGGCTATGGTTGCTTTATATCAGCCCTATTTATCCAACTATTTTCGGTCGATGGAAATCCTAACCATTTAACATACAATTTAGATCCTTTAGTTCGAACAACTTTTTCCACTAAGTAGTCATGTGGATAGTTAGTTTTAGACAATTCTTCGGTGTAGAAACAACCCGATATAGGGTTATTTTTATAATCTTTAAGTAAATAAGTGGGGGGATCTGTTTTGTTGACTTTAGTATTACAAAACACCTCAGTAGACCAATTCGGAAGGTAATTTTTATGGAAGAAACTTTTATAAATTGATATTCTGACGTTATCACCAATTTTAAATCTGATTTTTTTATATGGAATCACACGTTCGCGTAATTTTACTAGTGAAGGGTTTGCATTAGCTTGTGCAGGTGTTAATCCTATAGATCTGTGTATAGTATGATTATATTTTTCGGTTATTAATGGTAGAATATCTAACCAGTTATATGAACCCCTAGATGTGAACTCTCTATACATAAGATTTTTGAGCGTTCTATTAAATCTTTCGACGATGCTGGCTTTCAAAGTAGAAAAGTTAGAATATCGTTTTACTTTATATTTTTCAATTAATTCATCAAATGATTTTGAGTAAAATTCTGAGCCTCTGTCCACCTGAAGGAGTTTAGGACATTGAATATTAAATATTTTAGCTATTGCTAATGTAACTTCTTTACTGGTTTTAGATTTTAAAGGTGCTGTGTATGCGTATTTAGTATAACAATCTAATACTGTCAGTAAATATTTATACCCCTTATTAACGTTCGCATAGTGTACCATTTCAAATAAATCTGCTTGAAAAAAATCATTTTTTCCATATAATACAACCTTCCTTCTAAAATAATTTCTTCTTGCAGGCCTGTGTAGTTCGTTAGCAATTTCCCGTTTAGACATCGGGAATTCGTTTAATTAGCTTAGACTCGAGTAGCTCTTGCCAAATTAATGTGATTTCGTTCGAAACACCTGTATTACCTGCTGTTTGTGAAGCTAATAGTAATTTTAAACGTTCACACAAATCGTTTGGATTTTTTCAAAAAATTAGTTCTTTCTTAACGTTTTTTCTTAGCGTTAAAGTAAGACCTTCACCTTTGGCGAATAAACCAACAATGAGATTATATTTTTTTCCTCCTTTGCTAATTTGTGTTTTGTTTTTATTCAGATGAACACTTGATTTTATTAACATACTTTTATAGTTCCCTAAATCTGTCTCAGTATAGTTCATAGGGTTTGTTGAAAAAATTAACTCCAAAACACCTGTGGTTAAGGGGCATGATATTTTATCTAAATAAACTGATTCTTCTTTAGCCTCAAACACTAACGCACAGTCTCCGAGAGTAATTTTACCATTTTTATGTTGTATAGGCCCATAAAGTTTATCCGAGTTACTAGACTCTAACCATGTTCTTATGCGTTCGTTAATAAAGTCTTCCATGTCTATCGCATCAGGGTTCTGATCTTGTGTCGATGAGGTGACTTCTGCACTTGCTTGCATAGATTCATTTACTAGGTTTTCTTTTGATTTTATTTTATATCCGTTAGTTTTTGCAGAGGTTCAATTATAGGATTTAGGTTTTGCCTTATAACATGATCGGTTCTAGCATTATTTTGTTTAAGATCTTTAAATTTTTGTTTAATATTTTCTCTAGCCTGTATTAACTCTTTTAATAAAGTGTAACTTTCCTCTGCCATGTTTGATCGATAAATGAATAAATAGTTATACGAGTTGTACTCTATATAGTAACAAACGTATCGAAATTGAGTCTATACCGTCCGTTATCTCTCTCATCGTCTTTGCTAATAACTATAAAATTATATTTTTCACGATTCCAACAGGTTGTACAAAACTCGTTAAATTGATTATATGACATGTCGGTAGCTACATGATCATTGTAAATATGTTTTAAGTTGGTCTGATCCATTTTGAATACCACAAGAAAATTTGCATTATCACGAAGAATTCTTTTGTCTAAATATGAATAACTTTGTGCACTATATAATAAATCCAACTTGTTATGTCTACCGCGAGCAAAATAAGCACGTATAATACCTTGACTTTCTGTTAAAACGTCATCAAAAATAAATGTGCTTTCAGGTAAAGCTTTCTCAGGTGGAATTACAGAATCGCTTTCGTTAAAAGTAAACATATTCATGCCATCAATACCGGATATAATATCCTTAAACATTTTATATTTTGGCTGATCTACAGTTTTCGAGTATAAATAAATGTTTTGAAACTTAATCCCATTAATGTTAGTAAGTAAAGAGTATACGCAGTTGGTTTTACCCCCTCCAGAAGGGGCTAAAATTAAAGCGCGTACGGAATTTGGTAATAAATATCCATTTTTAGATTTAGTCTGATACATCTCCCGAGGATCTGCGTTTAAAACTGAAAGTTTAATAGTTTGCGGTGAAAAAATCATAACGGTATAAATATATCTGGTTAAAAACGTAATGGCTCATATGATATTGTGAGTGAGACAGACGTCCAATTTTACACTGAATCCAGCCCGTCTTATGGCGTAAAATATCAAAAAGACGGATCTTGGTTGATGGGTGATAAGACAGTTCAACTCGACGGACATGATATTAAAGTCGGCAGTTTACCCGTTACTAAATTTACTAAAGGTCTACAAGAATTGGTCTTTAGTTCAACCCCCCGTATGGACGTTGTAACAACTCAGTATTTATCAGAATATAGAAACTTTTTAATACATACGCGGGCTCACGTGAAAGCCAACGGTAAATTGAAATCTAACGCGGGGTTCAAGTACAAACATATTATTCGCCCGTTATTTTCCAAAAGCGGTCAAAATCTAGATACATTCTTAAAGGAAGCGGTCAGCCCGGACAAACGCGTGAAAAAAAAGCAAGTCAGTGACTCTCACAGTCCGTCCAGCCGCTCAGAAAAGGGAGTCAGTGACCTCGACGAGCAACAGACGGAACCGCTAGACGTTGAAAACAGTGAGCACCCTACCGATAAACAGCTGGACCTTGTTGAAGACCAGGTGGTCGGCAGGGGTCTTACGTTCAAACCGGTTTCAAATCGTTTGAAAGAATTTGTATATTATGACGATATCAATGAAGTCGTTGAGCGATTAGCATTGTTGCACGGTTCTCTCAACGCAGGTAACACTAGTGTTTACCCCGAAATACTATCGTGTATCGAAGAATTACGTGAAGCCCGTATTATTTATTAAAGCAATGTCCGCCGGATCGATCAGAGAGGCCATTGCGGCAGAATTGCATAAGCCGGCTCGTAGGGTGTTTACAAGACGCCCGATTCTAGCGTATTTTAAGTCAGACCTTTGGACAGCCGATTTGATTGATATGAGGTCACTGTCCAAGAAACGAGGTAATAAAAACTACACGTTTATTTTAGCGATTGTAGACGTGTATACTAAATTCGCGTTTTGCGAACCAATTAAAAATAAAAGCGGGCCGGTTATGGCCGCCGCACTTGAGGCGATTATAAAGCGAAACGGTGAAGCGTGTAAGCTTTTCTTTAGTGATAGAGGCACTGAATTTTATTCTAAACATATCCGAGCAGTGTATAAAAAATATAATATCAAACAGTATTCGACTTTTACGCCCGTCAAAGCGTCGCCAGTAGAACGGTTCATTCGGACTATTAAACGAATGGTATGGCAACATTTTACCGCGGCCGGGTCATCCGTGTGGCTACCGATACTACAAGATATCGTCTTACAGTATAATACTCGTAAACATTCGGCTATACGCATGACTCCCTCTCAAGCTCACAGCTCGCCGGATAGAGTCAATTTTTTTCGACAAGTTAGACCTAAAACTAAACCGGCATTATTCGCCGTGGGCGACGTGGTCCGTGTGTCATTGTATAAGATGCTCTTTCAGAAATCTTACAAAATTTCCTGGTCCCCTCAACTTTATACTGTAGAGCATGTAGCTAATACATTGCCCGTA